CAAAATGGATATAATAATAGTGCCTTTATCATTGGGTTGTTCTGAGAATTAAGTGAGATAATTTATGGTGAAACAATACAGTGACAGATATAACAAATGTTATCTGTTTTTTATTTTATTGTGATTGCTTCTGTCATTATTCTTTATGTCGTATCTTCAAATACTTTGTTTTTTTCTGGAGCTACTAATTATCTCTGGAATTAGCGCTCCCTCTTGGCACTAGTGATGTGGTTCTTTGCATGCTCAATGATCCCAGGGGCGACACTGACATCTGCCCCCACAAGAAGGAAGCAGATGGCTTCTCCCTTGCTTGATATAAGGGTCCTGTACGGTAATACTGCTTCATGCTAACGTGATCAGTCTCCAGCCTTTCCTGTTCTTACGATTCTTCCTCTTTCAGGATAAACGAAGTGATTTTTTAAAGCTCTTCTCTGCCACTTTCTCAGTCCTTCAGTGGATACTGTGATGTAATAGGTGAGTTTTAGAGCATCCGTGGAGGCAGAAGCAGGAGTGTGTGTGTGTGTGTGTGTGTGTGTGTGTGTTTAAAATTAATTGAAAAGGACAAAGACTTAGTTTGAGAGAAAGAGAAAATGGATCTGGGTGAGACAGATAAGGGCCCAATGAAACAAAAGGTGAGAGGAGGGAAATTATCACATGACAGAGCACAGAGTGGTGAGTGTGGACATGAAGAGAGAAATCAGTGGAACTAGGTGGTGGGCACTGGTGGAAATGAGAATGCAGACGTGGGCCAGGAAAAGCACCAGAAGGGTGTAGAGGAGGAGCGGCTTCTTCATTAAAGGGTTGAGGGCAATTTATATTACTGTCAGAATCAGACTAGGAGGTATCGGTGGAGACTGTTCATAAAATGTGCATGCATTTTGACCACCATCTTATTTTTAGTGGAATAAGCCAAGCTACTAGGGAAAGATTAGTTCACTAATTCCATGGATCATTTGTTCAAATATTTCTTAAGCACATAACATCTGCCAGACTATTTACTTAATGCTGCAAACACATCAGTCCCAAAGTGAGGACTCTTGAGGAAATTTTTCTTGGTAGTCTGGGTGTCAGGTGTATGTGAGCCTGAAAAATCTTCCTCACTCTGTTTCCTGTCCTGCATTTTGCAGAACGGCTATAGTCCCTGGGACCGGAAGAGGCTGTCCGCAGAGCTGGGGTTTCACACATGATACACTACCATACGCTTATAACAGTTAGATAAAAATACCCCAAAATGTTTATAGGGAATAAAACAAATGGATAGATGGACATTTTTCTTGAGATGTTTATTCATTAAAAGTATGAGTTATGGTGATACCCCAGCTCATGGGATGGGGAGATTAGGTAGATGTTGGTCAAAGCATACATTTCAATCAGGCAGAAATAACTTCAAGGGATCTGTTGTACATCATGTGACTGTAGTTAATACAATATATTGTATATTTAAAATTGTTATGAGAGTAGATTTTAAGTGTTACCATACAAATATGTATGTGAAGTAATAATGTTAGTTTAGCCACATAACACTCTACTATACATATATCAAAACTGTCGCACAACCTAAATACCAAAAATATTGTTAATTTAAAAATAAATAAGACATGGATCCCTATTAAGGATTCATCAGTGAATTAAAGGAATCTCAATACCTCGGTAGCACATATGATACTGGTTATAGACTATGAAAACTTTTTACATGCTGTTTTAAATGACTGTGAGCAAGAGTGAGATGATTACAGGGATAAATCTAAATTTGCTCCAGTATATTAAGAGGTAAACCATTTACAAATTTTTATACCTGAATGTATGGAAAATCACACTGAATCCCATTAATATATACAATTAATATATACGTTCGTGAAAATATCTTAAGAAGAAACAAATTTCATGTGACATATCTCACAACAAATCCTGCCATGTATTGAGCTGCAGAGAACACCCTTCTACCTTAAGGGCAGAACTAGCTATTTTATCCATTAGGTATGTGGCTTCCATGTGTGGAGCCTGTGCATATGAAAGAATCTGAGATTAGTGAAAATTATTGGAAATCTGAACCACACCTACAAGCAAAATGGCAAAGGGAAAATACTTGTATAAATATATGCCTAGGTAAAACAGCTAGAAAAGAGAATAGCACATATATAGTTATCCGACAATTATGTCTGTACAGTTTGTGGGTTCATTTTCATGTGTTATGGTAAAGGAGAGTCTCTCAAATTAAGATCAAATAGAAACATAGAAGGTCTTACATATAGGCCTTTTGGGCATTGAAGACCCTGGGAAGAAAGAAAGAGCAGTTTCTACCTGTTTCCACTAGGACAGATTGGAGTTTTTCAGAGCACTTAAAGGAAGTCCTCCAGGTAGTTCTCGGGCAGGCTAAGCCCATCACTGGTGGACGCCCTAGTACAGTGCCAAACCCTTGGGGGTTGGGGTCCTCAGGCTGCAGGTCCAGGTGAGACTTGATCTCAGTCTACTTGTCTTCTTCGGGTTCTTCTTTCATTCCTTTTCCTTTTCTTTCCTGTAGGGCAAAGAGTTTCCTTTGGTCATATTTGCATGAAGAGTTAGAGGTTAACATGGCTAAAAAATTAAGGTATTTTGCCTACTGGAAGAAATGTAATAAAGAGATGACCAAACAGTTAAACAACAATAATATAATGATGACAAGTTATATTTTCAGAGCATCTTGTATGGGCTAACTCATTTAATCCTCACAATTACCTCATGGAAGTTATTACCCACGTCTCACAAATGAAAACACGGAGGCGTGCAGGTGTACAGCGCCTTGCGGAGATCATCCAGCTGGTCAGCAGTGAACGGGGAAATGAGCTCAGGAAGTCTGGCTCGAGAGCTGAATGTTCTCGCCTCCTGCTCTGTGCTCTCTCCCACTCGCGGTGGCTCCCGGCCCCTTCTCCCCGGGGTGGTTTTCCTTGCTGTCACTCTGACACACATTTTCTCAAAGCCCGGGAGGTACTTTCTGTGAGGCTTCGGATGCCTCTTTACACCCCTGTGTTTCCTTTCTTCTCACCCCTGACTTCTTCCTGCAGGAGCCAAGCACCCTGCAGAAGTGAAATGAGGGAAACTGAGCTTCCTTTACAGCTGCCCAGGCCCGCCGCCCCACCCCCACCCCGCCTTGGGCCGCTCACTGTGTGGTGCTCGGACCTCATCGGAGCTGTAAGACAGCAGGACTTGCTTCTCGCGGACTTATGTCAGGTGTCTGTTTTATTGAGAAGGGATCTGTTCATAATTAGTGCGCCTGGATGAGAAAACAAATGCCCAGTACATTTCCTTCAAAGAACAGTTAGTTTGTGTTCTGGTGGGGATTTTGTTTGTATACATCTGAGGTCAGCGCTTTAAAGTACAACGGGCACAGCGCTGTCACCAGCGCCCCTCCTCTCCGGGCTTCTCCCAGCAAAGCTTAGCTTGTCCTAAGTAGAGGTGAGGCAGTATTTCAAATCGACGGGCTTCAAGGACATCAGGTGATTAGCTGCTTGGGGTCTTTATTTGTTGGAATCCGGCCCCTCTTCCGTCCTTGTACCCGCCCGCGGTCCCAGGGCTCTCTCCCCATGATGCTCCATTCTCTGAGCAAGAGCGTTTGCCGCGAGGCAGGGCGTGGGTCCCGAAGCTGAGGGTTTCATCCCTTGCATGGCTTCTCCCTTGGTGCTTTCTGAACACCTTTATCAGATGATTCAGTTAGTATTTATTTGATACCTTTATACTCTCGATTCTCTCTTTATGCTTTCTCCTCCCTGCCGCGTTTTTTTGTTTTTTTTGTTTTTTTGTTTTTTTTTGAGACAGGATCTTACTAGGTGTTTCAGACTGACCTTGATCTCACTAAGTAGCCCAGGCTTCTCTGGAACTTGAGGCACTCCTTACTGCCTCAGCCTCCCAAGTACTGGGATGATAAGTGTGCGCCTCCATGCTCGGCTCTCCATGGCCTCTTTTCCTCATGTGTCCTTCTAGATTCTTAATTAATCATCCTTCCCCTAGTTCTAATAAGCAGACAGATAACTAACTTCAAGCAAACAATTATTACATGAATGGTGGGAAAGAAGGGCCATATATTTAACGCTTTTTAGCAGCACAGAAACCTGCCTCTTTCTGAGGCTTAGGGAGCACGTGGTGCGGGGGTAAAGGGTAGGAGGAGGGGTGTGGGGTGTGGGGTGTGTGTGCTGTGTTAGTGGAGCCAGGAGAGAGCAGGAGGACAGAATGCATTGGTTTCCTTTACTCAGAACAGTTTCTCTGGAGGCTTCAGTGTTTCTCTGGATGAGGAGCACGGTTTCTCTAACATGAGGGACCCAAAATATAAGCCCTTTAAAGAGCAAAATAAAAGAGACGGGAAGAAGCAGGGAGGTCGTCTCCGTGGACATGTGAAGGGAATCTGGGGAGGGAGGGAGAGAGGGAGTGGGGAAAGTAGAGTGAAAAAGACCCAGAGAAGATGTGTGTAAGTACCATTCCTCACAGTGAGTGTAATTATTATGTATCACAGACACACACTAATAACAAAAAGAAGATCTGCACACAGTCAAGAACCGATTGGATGAAATTGTCTGGGAAGGAGCATGGAAGGTTCTTGAGAAGGGTGACAATTGTCCCTGTAGTCTCATTTGCTGCCCTGCTCACTGGCTTTAGGGAAGATGTGAATCTGGGTCAGAATGGTAACTACGCTCCTTAGTCCTTCTGAAGTTTTACTTGAGAATTTACTTCCACTCACAGAAGCCATAAGTGCAAGTTTCTATGGAATGTTTAAGGCCTTGAGCTCAAGGTGATCTTCCTGCCTCAGACTCCTGAGGGCTGGGATTTTATAGGTGTTCCACCATGCCTGGTTTAAGGAGGTCTTTTAAGGTTAAAATTTGGGTAAACAGAAGTGGAAGGGGAGGGAAATTCAGGTAAATACAGGAGGAGTAAAATCTTGGGGGAAGGGACAAGTACAAGATGTGTATAGAGCAAATAATACTTGTGTGGAAATGGTAGAATGAATGATAGAAATAAAGGTGGGGGGGCAAATTTTGGGGACACAGCGAGTGGAGACAGGTGTAGCTCTACTGGATCTTGAAACATTGCTAGAGATACTTTATATGCAAAAGAAGCACAAATGGCCAAAAGTCTTTTCTACATCCTAGTGATCATTCTCTAGGAGAATTTCCTCTGGAAAGCCCAGCAATATCTAAAACCATACTGTCTTCTTTGATTTCTGTACATATTCAGCTATTTTTTTGTTCCTGTTACTTTCAGTGGATGTGTCATCTTCTAAGCCATTCCACAGAGGACCATAATATGCGCCATGACTCGCAGCAACCTTACCGTCTTCCACCCCACAGTTTTTGTCCTGCTTGGCATCCCTGGGCTGGAGGCTTACCATACTTGGTTGTCAGTTCCCCTCTGCCTCATGTATGTCACTGCAGTCCTGGGGAACAGCCTCTTGATAGTGTCATCATCACAGAGCGTAACCTCCATGAACCCATGTATGTTTTCCTCTCCATGTTGGCGATCACAGACATACTTCTGTCTACCAGTACTGTGCCCAAGGCCCTAGCCATCTTTTGGTTCCACTGCCGTCACATTGCCTTTGATGCTTGTGTCACCCAAGTCTTCTTTGTCCACACTATGTTTGTAGGGGAGTCAGCAATCCTGTTAGCTATGGCCTTTGACCGCTTTGTGGCCATCTGTGCCCCCCTGAGGTATACAACGGTGCTAACGTGGCCTGTTGTGGGAAGAACTGCTCTGGCCATTGTCACCCGAAGCTTCTGCATCATCTTCCCAGTGATCTTCTTGCTGAAGCGGCTGCCCTTCTGTCGAACCAACATTATCCCCCATTCCTACTGTGAGCACATTGGAGTGGCCCGCTTGGCCTGTGCTGACATCACTGTTAACATCTGGTATGGCTTCTCAGTGCCCATTGTCATGGTCATCTTGGACGTGATCCTCATCGCTGTGTCTTACTCACTGATTCTCCGAGCGGTGTTTCATCTACCCTCCCAGGATGCTCGGCACAAGGCCCTCAGCACGTGCGGGTCCCACTTCTGTGTCATCCTCATGTTTTACGTTCCATCTTTCTTCACCTTATTGACCCACCGATTTGGGCACAACATTCCCCGTCATGTGCATATCCTGCTGGCCAATCTTTATGTGGTGGTGCCTCCGATGCTCAACCCCATTGTCTACGGTGTGAAGACTAAGCAGATCCGGGAGGGTGTGGCCCACTGGTTCTCTGATGTGAAGACTTGGTGCTGTGCCGCCCCTCTGGGCTGATGGAGTCTCAGGTAGCTTCATACCCGGCTGCTTCAGGGAAGCTAGATATGAAATACAGAGATTTCCCAGACTCAAAGGATTTTTCTTTTTCTTTTGTTTTTTTTTTTTTTTTGATTTTTCTTTCTTTTCTTTCTTCTAAGTTGTCTTTTTTCTCTCCTACTTTTCTTTTTTCCCTCTCTTCTAACTCTTCCCTTTGCTTCCTCCTTTACTTGCCTCACACATTCCTTTTTACACCCCAGAAATAACTAAGCATACATACCTCTGATATGAGCGTTTTGTATCTTCAGTAGACTAGATGTACTCCAGAAGCACAGGGAACTGAATGTCATGTGAAGTAAGGTTATAAACAAATAAAGAGAAATAATCTTGTATTTAACATGTGAAGGGATTCCGCTGTTTTAAATCCCAAATTGTGCATTTACTTTGTATAGAATCAAGTTTATTTCTACAGTGGCACATGTTTTAAAAAACAGACAGGCATGCCCTTCAACGATCTAGAAAATTCCGTCTCATTCTTCACTTTTTAGTTCAATTGCTATTACCCCTGTGAAGTCTTTTCTAAGTTCTCCAGGTGATCCAAGGTTCTTATCTTTGCATGTTTGGTCCACCTTGTATATATGTGTAAATGTGCACAATGAATTGTAATGATTTTGTGATTTATTTATACCCCTAACTGACTGTAAACTCCTTGAAATGGAAAGAGTGTGCAATATTCACATTTGTACCCATAATACATTAAAAATACCTGACATACAATAAATGTTTGAAAAATGAATGAGTAAAATTACTTCCCTAAACCCAGATCATATACCTCTATGACACATTGAAATGACTGCTAAATTAGTCCACAAAACCAATGATTAATAAACTAGATCTCATGAAGGCAGGTTAACATCCTGGGGACAAGTCAGCTGCTGATCTGCCATATTTTCTTCTCATGCTTTTGCTGTGACTCAGAGACCAGAGAGTAGACCAAGGAGGAAAAAACGGCATTCTTGATTCTCTCTTTAGCCTGGGTTTTGACCAGCACCAGTGTTGGAAATTATAAGACAGTGTTCTTGGCCAGGTCAGCATAATTAGAGTATGGTATTCTCTGGGATTCACATGCCTGACCCTCGTCCTTTTATGCTTTTCTAGGAAAAGTCATAAACATTTGTTTCTTCGGCAAGTATTGAGTCTTTTGTCTGTCTCTCTAGTGTAAAACTCTTTTTCTGAGAACTCCAATTTAAGCCAATGTTGTTTTTTCTTTGTTCTTTCTTTTGGGAACTAGATTATGATGATCCCATTAACTTCCCTGAGCTAAAAACCCTGGAATCTTTTCTAGTTTCTTTACCTCAAGGCTATTCTTTTTATTTTATTTTATGAAATAATAAAACAAAATTTCATAACACAGTAATAAGAGAATAATAATAGTTAATACTCTGTGTACTATAACTGTCATAGTAATTACTGAGAACCATGGGCAAAAAAGATTCTCTCTTACAAAGAAAAACGAACAGATGTACTATTTTCTCTTAGGTCACTAAAAGGCCTACTCTTTAACAGGCTGTTGCTTGGTACTTCTGTTGATGGTGCCACTGAATAGGTAGTTAGGCGGGTGGTATTTGGAGTCAAGTCAAGATTTGAGTTCTAGCCCATCATTTTTTGACTGCTTGAATCTGTGAGATTCGTTTAACAGTTTTAGTTCTCATTTTTGGTCTATAATATGGGTACCTTATAGGGTACCTTCAGAGGGTTGTTGAGAAGGTTAAGTGAAAAGAAACCTTAGTACATATTACTTAAAGAAAAGTTTCCACAACCAAATAAACGAGGAAAACGCAGACATTCTAAGTCATGCAGAAGGCATTCCAAGAGGAGGTCAGTGTTTGCAGTGTTGCCCATACTTCTGTGATCACATGTCTGTTTCCATGTAATATAATTTTTGCTGATAACATAGCAAGTTAAATTTCTAGTATATCTTAGTGCTCCATTATTTAGAGTTTGGAAATTATAGGACTATAGAAATTATAATCCAAGCATTAGTTTAATAATCTGGTCTTGACTTACTGTTTTCTGTCTCTGCTTCAAAATACACCATTATATAATAATATATTAACATAGACTATGATAATATTAATGATAATAATAATTACAATAGGAGGTAGTGTTTTAAAGAGGTCATTCCAAGCTTGGAGTCCTGGTGAATGTTCTGCTTCCTTAGGAGAGTGCTATTGTTATCTTTGCTTAAGATACAAGAGTACCCAAGGCTCAGAGAGGATAAGTAATCATCACACATCTTCAGTAGAATGCTGAAGTCAGGAACTCTTTGTTATCTTTGCTAGGCCCCCCAAATCAGAGATAATCATCTCATCTTTTGAGTCTCCACAGCAATGATGTGTGTAGTATGTGTAGTCTCAACTGAACATTAATTACTCTATGAAAACACTAGAACATGAATTCTGTGATGGCTGGAAATGTGTCTTACTCATGGCGTCAAAATCCACATAGGGGTAAGTATGCTGAAACTTGTAAGATATATAATATTGAAATGTTTGTGTGGTTCTTGAACTCTGGACCCACCATTGTTAAATAGTATCTAATTTTATGCACACACACACACACACACACACACACACACACACACACCCTACCCACTCAGTTCCTGATCTACTTTCTTCTATTTCTCCAAAGGTTCTTAAGTACATTGGAGTCTTGTAGATATAAGCTGAGATTTAGTAATCTACCTATTAACTAGCAGTACTCAAATCCACTCTCTGTCATGGTTTAGTAGGAGATATGGTGTCATCAGCAGATGTAGTATGTCTAGAGTTTACAGAAGGACGTAGTTAAATTAACTGCCCTCTCTGGTCCTGAGTCAGTGATCTCTGGGGTCTACTTTTCTCTAATTAAACCAGACTCTGCTTAAGGAATAACAGGAAAGAAGCTGTCTCCTGACCCCAGGGATTTTTAGAATGAGGTACAAATTCTGTCCCCCTTCACTCCAGAGGCCGAATCTTGCCATGTCTTTCACATGTTGAGAGAGAACTTTCTCTTCAAGTGAGGTAAATTTCTGGACAGGAAATGAAAGTTTGGTTCCTAGGATTTTTAGATTTTCCTGGAGTAGGCCCAATAAACTGTTGATTTAGACAAGATCTTCTCATGTGCTCTGGATTGTGTGCTGTAGTGTAATACACATTTTGACATTTTGAACTACTATGGACATTTCTGCCATGTAGGGATGGAACTCAAATGAATGCTTTTCCAGAATGTTAAAATAGTTTAAAAATATTGAAATGTACATATATTCAAATTCATGGCTTTAAGTTTAAATATTTTATTTATATAAAAATTAGAGTTCATTATAATTTTGTTGACTTTAATAGAAGAAACTCGCCAATAGTATTTTAAAATAAAGCTGCAGAAAACATTTAGCTATGGAGAATTCATAAAAACAAGTATGTAAGGGCTCCTATTTTTTCTGTTACCTCAGGTCCAAATATGGCTTGGTGTCATGCTGTCAGATCCTATCTTCATTTAAAATTTGAATATTTTGTACATCACGGATTTTTGTATTAATTTTCACTTTTTTTTTTTGGTTTTTCTCCAGTACCGGGAACCGAACTTACGACCTTGTGCTTGCCAGGCAGGCACTTTGCTGCTGAGCTAAATCCCCAGTCTTAATTTTCACTTTAAAAGTTTGTTAAAATATTACTTATCTTGATTTCAGGGTTCTTGATACCAGCTTAAATTTTGTACCCAAGGTAAGTACCTTACTCACCTCACCTTAGTTCTGGCCCTCAGAGAGACGTTCCTGGAAGGATGAGTTACAAGGAAATGAAGCCCCTGATGATATCAGTCTTTAGATGAACCTGATACTAGAAAAATTCTTTTTAGTTTTAGAAGCAAAGACATTCTATGTGTTCAAGCCAAAATAGAGTTGGATTTTCTGTTGCTTATCATGTGAAATGTCCTGCTACACAGGTAGAAACAACAGTGGCCTTTGCTTTGCTTTTTTTTTTTTTTTTCTTTTTTTTAAATTAACTATATGGGAGTCAGTACTGTTTTTGAAATAGAAAAAAATTCCATTGTAATATATGTACCATAAGTTGTTTATTGTCATAGTGATGAAGTTGAAATTATTTCTTCTGCTGTTGTAATAATGTAGTAACAAACATCCTGCAGCTACATCTCTATGATCTCATGTTGCACTTTCAGCACGTACTTGCCAGAAGTGAAATGACTGGATTAAAAAATTTGTATAACTGAAATGTTTAAATATATTGTCAAACTCTTTTCCAAATGGCTATAGGAAGTTACCTGATGCCAGAACAGGGGGTTAATTGTTTTCCAGTTTGACAGGAGAGCAATGATATTGCAATGATTCTGATCTCCAGATCTTTAAATTTTATAAGATTGAGCATATATTCATATGTATATTTGCTATCTGTGTGTTTTTGGAGGTAAAAACTCCATTTTAATTCTTCACACATATTCTAAGGATAGTTACCCTTTGTCTATTACATGTTTTGTGTATTGTTTTCTCCTAGAATAGTTACTTATTTTTTACTACATTTTTATGTCATTGCATCAGTCAACTTGTACTTTCTATGAAACTGGATTTTCTTCTCTCATTCAGAAGGTCTTCTCAGCTCCTCAAATATTTTCCCATGTTTTCTCCTAAAAACATTTAAAATTTTTTCATAGTTTTATGTCTTAAATGTACATTGTCATTTATCTGGAGTTTCTATTTGTTTGCTGAATGAGGTAGGAAATAATTTCATGCTTTTACAAGGATTTGAACCTGAGAAAGATTTCCTAGATGATAAATATTTAATCTCTATATTCGAAGATCAGTAAAACTTTAAGACGAAACCTCGAGAAAAGTCACAGAAATCAGAAAACTCAGGTTTTGTGTGGAGAATCATCAATCTAATTTAAATTTGTTAGCATGCCTAAAGGTGACTAAAACTGAAAAAGAGAAACAGTGGGATTGTGGATGGTTTTGTATGCTTACAAAGTTTGGATTTCATCTGTTAACAATTCAGGATTGTAGGAAAAACACAGTAAGATGTTTGTTGGGTGTATCACCCAGACTGCAACAGAGCTGTAACTCTAAAGAGTTGAAGATGAGAAACTGGGAGATGCAGGGAGACCAGGTTAGTTTAGGACGCTGTTCAACAGAAAGCTTAAATGATGATCAAAACTGGAGCAAGAGTATGTAAGTGAGAACATGGAGGCATGTGTGGGTTTTAGACGTTGCTGAGATGATACGAACCTTTTTTTATATTTATGTTTGTGATGGTAGTGTAGGAATGAAAGCAGAAACAATATATAATCTAAATCAAGACATTGATAATTGATTCCATGATATAATGTTCAACTTTTAGTGGAGCTTATAGCTATCTCTGCCTACTGACTTTCCCTTTGTTTAGTCTTCATAGAGACTTCAAAAGCAGGCATGTTTGGTGCTAATCTCACTATCTTCCATCCCACTGTGTTCATCCTGCTTGGCATACCGGGACTGGAGCACTATCACACCTGGCTTTCTATCCCCTTCTGTCTCATGTACATCACCGCAGTTTTGGGAAATGGAGCCCTCATCCTTGTTGTCCTGAGTGAGCGTACCCTCCATGCACCCATGTATGTCTTCCTATCTATGCTGGCTGCAACTGACATTCTGCTGTCCTCCACCACTGTGCCGAAGGCCCTGGCTATCTTCTGGTTCCACGCTGGGGAGATAGGCTTTGATGCCTGCATTACTCAGATGTTTTTCATCCATGTTGCTTTTGTGGCTGAGTCAGGAATCCTGCTGGCCATGGCACTTGACCGCTATGTGGCCATTTGTACTCCCTTGAGATACACATCCATCTTAACACCTATGACAATTGGGAAAATGACCCTGGCCATCTGGGGACGGAGCATTGGGACTATTTTCCCCATAATATTCCTGCTGAAAAGGCTGCCATACTGCCGGACCAATATCATCCCCCACTCGTACTGTGAGCACATTGGGGTGGCCCGATTGGCCTGTGCTGACATTACTGTCAATATCTGGTATGGCTTCTCAGTGCCGATGGCGTCCGTTTTGGTAGATGTTGCACTCATCGGTGTTTCCTATACTTTGATCCTCCAAGCTGTGTTTAGACTTCCTTCCCAGGATGCTCGACATAAAGCTCTTAATACCTGTGGTTCTCACGTTGGAGTTATTCTCCTTTTCTTCATACCATCGTTTTTCACTTTCCTTACCCATCGCTTTGGCAAAAATATTCCCCACCATGTCCACATCCTCCTGGCAAATCTTTATGTTTTAGTGCCTCCCATGCTTAACCCTATTATCTATGGAGCAAAGACCAAGCAAATCAGGGACAGTATGGCTCACATGCTGTCTCTTTCAAGGAAGTCTTGAGGCAGCTCATGGCCCCTTTGTAGTTTGCTCTTATTAGAAGTGAACAGAACTTGCCAACCAGTTCCCAAGTTTAGGCATGGTAGTATGTTCTGGCAGAAGGCATATGGACTTTGAAATAAAATTTTTCTGCACACAAATCCTGACTCTCTTACTTTCTGATTTTTGACCATACAGGGTTTTCTATCTTTTTGAAACTTAGTCTTGTAATGTTCAACTGTTTGTACCTATCCTCTGAAGTTTCTGTGAAGAGTGCCCAGAATTATGTGGAATCTCAGGGTTAGCTATAGTTCTAACTTGAGTATTTGTTGCTTCAGGGAAGATGTCTTAGACTTGCTGTACATGATATTTCCAATATTTCCAGAGGCTCCCATGTCTCCTCTTGCTCACCTTCCAAGAGTGTCAGGACCGTCATCATCTCCAACATCACTGCCATCCGGACAAGTTTTTTTTTTTGTATAAATCAAATTGGATAATAAAGTTCTAGTTTTTAATAAAACAAAAAAGTTCTTATCAAAAGTATTAAACTGTCAAAAAGGATTAAGGCTGACATTGAATACATTTTCTACGTAAGGAACTTTAACCATTATATGTAAAACAATCCTCTTACGCACCTGGTAAATGGGCCAAGTGTCACAGACACAAGCACTATCCATAGAGAGCTGGATAGGCTGAACACGTGAACAAAGTGCAAGAGAAGGGGTCACATTGAAAATGGAAAAAATGCTGCACCACACAGATATCCAGACATTAAAAAGAGGAAACAAGCAACTATTATTTGACTCTATGTGTTCTTCTTAAGCTATAACTTTCCCTAGTTAAAGTTAATTGAATGGCTTTAACTTCTATAAATTATGATGGTTTCCAAATTTGTATTTCCCGCTTAGTCTTTTCCGTTGAGAATCACATTCATACATTCAAGTATTTCTTAACATCTCCTGCTGTATGTCTCACAGGAATCTCAAAATACACATTAGAAAGAACAGCTTAGGCACTGCTACAGTGACAGATCATGAAAGTTCAGTGAATCAGCAACAGAGCTCACGACTTCCGTTTAAAGTACAGTGTGTATCAGCAGCATCTGATTTCCATTTAGCAGCTCAGGAACCCTTGATCCTTCCATCCTGTGATGTTTTCATACCAACGTGCATCTTTTCCAGAGTTGCCAATGCAGGGAAGGAGCCGAGGGTGAGTCACGCCATAATGAATTGCCTTCATCTTTGAAGTGACTAGCACTTTTGCTCACAAGCGGCCTCATGGGCCCCAGCTAACCACAGGGGAAACTGAGGGACACAGGAAATGTCACAGATTTGTATCAAGTAATAATTGTCTCTGTCTCCATCCTCACTTTTGGTCACTTAATATTTCTTTGCTCCCTTTTCTCTGCACAAAGACCAAACTCAGGTCCCCTCCACAGGGAAACCTCGCCGTCACGTCTAGGCTCTCTGCCCAACACAGGCCCCTCAAGTGATGCACAGGAAGCTTTTTCTCAGTTTGGTTGGAGCTTTCTTTATCTTAAAACTAATAATGTAAAAAGAAATCTAACTGTTTCTCACTCTCTTATAAAATATATACTGATTTAGTTTGGGATTTTGTGAGGGGAACAATACAATACAGGACACTTAATTATAAGATTATTTTATAGTAATCACCCAGAGTCATATACAAAAAGAATGCAGGGAATCTGTCCACACACTAAAGACCAAAGAATCCAGCTGAGGGCCTGGATCTCATGGCAATGTCCTGCATGAGTCCAGCTGAAGACCTAAGGCCCATAACAATGTCCCCCATGAGTCCAACTGGAGGCCAAGAGCCCACGACAATGCCTCATGCAAGTCTTTTTCACGGATCTGCGCTGGGAAGGCCCGAAGGTCAGTGGTGGAAGCCAGAAAGTCTGGGCCAGTGGGATGAAGGATCTGTGCTAGCAGGCTGAGGGATCTGCGCTGGAGCCAGGAAGCAACACTCAAACTAAAAATCAGAGTTCCTCTGAAAGGTACCACAGCCATCCTCAGTGACAGTGAGGTCCCGAGTTCCTCCAGTGATGAGAACAGCAGAGCTCCTATTAGGAAAGCCTGTGCATCAAGCTTCTCCAGGAGATTACTGAACAGTGCACCGTCTTCCCCTCTGGAGCCAGGAAATGATGTTCAAAGCAAGGACCAGAGCTCCCCCAAAATGAGATGTAGCCATTCCCAGCAACACATAGGTCCCAAGCTCCTTCAGTGATGAGAACAGCTGAGTTCATCAGGAAAGCAAGCATGACAAGGTCTTCCAAGAGAACCAACAGCAGCCCCAGGAAAACCAACAGCTCCAACAGCTCCCCACAGCTTCTAAACTTCTTCCTCTCCAGTTCTGCCACTTACGCTGCTGACAACAATCCTCAGGTGGGCCTCCCACACCCAGCACCACACTGGTCAGTTCAGCTGAGTCTTACAAGTTGACTACCAGTTGTCATTCCAGCACACTGATGCAACTTTTTGTAAGGGTGAAAAAATATAAAACACCCAACAGTTCTACTTTATAAGAATTTCAAAATCCCCACTGGGCAGATAAATGGAAGCACTATTGTTTGAATGTGCTATCGCAAACTAACATTTAAATTTAATTGCCATTGCGATGGTAGGAAGAGATGGCAGCACTGAGGGGTGACTGGATCATAGGAGCAGCACCCTTAGAATCAACTACAACCCCTATTGTGGACAGGGCTGTTTATGGTGAGTTAGTTATAAAGAGGGAACTTTAGTGCCTTCCATACATAATATGTCCATGTGATGCCTTCCACCACCACATTATGGTATAGCAAGAAGACACTCACCAAGTGCAGTCTCTCTGTTTTGGACTTCTACCCTCCAGAATTGTGAGCCAAATAAACCTCCACTGTTTATAACTGTTTATAAACCTACCTTGTGATACTCTGTTATAAAGGCAGTAAATGCAATAAGAGAAGAAGCCTCCATACCCTGGGTTTGAGAAAAGTTTTTGGTTAGATCTTGTAAGAGAAAATTCTTGTTTATTCCTCTTTGTGACCCACGAGAAATAATCTTTGCATACTGTTGTCTCTGTCTGTCTCTCTCTTCCTAGATAACATTTAAAATTAGAATTAGAGAATATAACTTTAATGGACAGCACGGCCTTCTCAGTCTACTTCCTGGTGCTGAAAGGTTGGGGACTAAGAGTTAACTCTTGGATACAGTCATCCAAAACGTTCTTAGATGAACTCTTGGTTTCTTTGGCAATATCTGTTTATTATGGGCTTCTCATTTATTTGATTCCACTTGTGTGTCAGTGAGCATATCCCCAAATCTTTTAATGATACAACCCTCAAGTTATCTCCCTTTCCCCCCTATTTTCATGTGCCTGTCTCTCAGTTTATTGGAGGCTCACTTGGAACTGTACTGGTGCAGCAGGAAGGAAGATCCTACCTTTAATCTGACTTTTACCTGCAGTTGATTTATTAACCTGAGATGTTTCCTGGATGCCAAAGCTATAACATATGACGGTACTTTTTTCCTTAGGTATTTTACTAAACTGAGAAAAGGTTTTTTGTGTTCAATGCTGAAGGCTAAACCCAGGGCCTCATGAATGGGAGGGAATCACTATACCACTCAGTCACAAGCTCAGATCTTGGAAATTATTTTGAATCAGGGTCTCTCTACATTGACTACGGTGGCTTTGAACTAACAGTCCTCTGCCTTAGTCTTACAATTAGTTGGGATGATAGGTATGCACCACCATGCTTGGCTTTAACTGAGAAATTTTATTGGAGGTTTATGCTTCAAATTTAAAAAGAATCTTTTATTTGGCATTTCATTTTTAAAAAATCACTACAAGCCTCTCAGTGTTTTTCTTTTTCTTTCTTATTATTTTTTAGCCTATGGTGCCCCAAAGATATCTATGTCCTAATGTCTGGAATCTATGCATATGTTAGATTACATTGCAGAAGGCAGTTCAGATGGGATGAAGATGGCTAGTCAGCACACCTTAAAATAGAAATAATCCTGGATTTTGAATAGTGTCTAATTTAATCCAAAGATCCATAGAAATGTAAGAGAGCATAGAAAAGTCAGAATTAGAGAGACTTGCCTGAGAAGGACTCAGATGGTTTTTGCCCATTTTGGAGCTCAAATGGGACTTCAAGGAGCCTTTGGAAGCTGGAAAAAGGAAGAAAATACTTTCTCCCTACAGCCTCTAGAAAGAAGCACAACTCTGCCGAGACCTTTGTTCTAACCCGGTGAAACCCATTTCAGACTTCTGACCTTTACACCTGGAAGATAATAAATATGTGTTGGTTTAAGCCAATAGCTTTTTTTTTTGGTAGTACCAAGAATTGAACTCATGACCTCAGGCTTGCCAGGCAAGCACTTATGCCGCTGAGCTATATCCCCAGCCCTAAGCTAATAGCTTTGTGGAACTGTTACAGTAGCAATCGGAGCTAATACATTCACCCTCCCCATTTTTCCCTGCAAAGTGACCAGTCATTTCCATTTTCTCCAGTTACTTGTTTGTTTACCTCACTAAATGTAACCAACATATCACGACCAGTTTGTTTTCCAACATCTCTTCTAGAGCCACAAGTGGAGGAGGCAGGTTGTCTGTTCTCACAGGAGACAGGGGTACCATTTCTCTATTGTATAACACATATCACCATCTCTCTGGTTTCTGTTATGAGATTCTTCACAACCCGGATGCTACTACAATTCTACATCCATCTTGTCATTCTCCTACTTAGGAATTATTTACATCGGGCCACAAAGATGGGTGGGAAAGAGTAGAGAGCTCAGCCAGCAGTCGCGTTCCTGTTGGAGGTGCACTGAGCACCGGGCTGCTTGCAGTCAGTTCGGTCATGACGCAGGAACACATTCCACAGGACAGAGCGGCCACTTCTTTTCATGCTCTTGTCTCTAGATGGGGCCACATGACTAGTTACAGCAGAAGAAACACAGGCAGAAGGAATGTGTGTGTCGCTTCCATTCTGAAGTAGCTCAATATCCAGTGTAGCTTCCAGA